AACGGTAACTGTAACGAGTTACTTTTAAAAATCGGTAACTAGTAACGGTAACTTGTTACTTTTCCTACTCGGTAACGAGTAACTGTAACTTGTTACTTTTAAAAAGTAACTTTCCATTCCCTGATAAGATATTATATTATCATTATTTATTAGCCATGTTTATTTTGGAAATATTTCTTTTATATCAAAAGAAATAGTCTAATTTTACCACAGAATACTTTTACCTGTAAAATTAAATAAACATAAATTCTGCTAGATAAACATGTTAATTTGTTTTATTTTCAATTTCTTTTCTTGTTATAGGTTGTGTGTGATCATAGAGCACTTATAACTCATTGTTATGTGGGTCATCCTGGTTCTGTACATACGATCAGCGAATATTTAGACAATCAGAAGTGTAGCAACATATCTGAATAATGAAGAAAAGTTTCCATTCGACAGTCATTTAGTAGGAGATTGTGCCTATGCATTGCACGAACATTTATTAGTATCATACAAAGATAATGGACATTTGAGTGCTGCCCAAAAGCATTATAATTTTTGCCAATCCTCTGCACGAGTAATAGTTGAAAGGTGTTTTGCTTTATTAAAAACACGATTGAGAAGTTTGATGCATTGCTTGCCTATGACCAGAATTGATCTCATGGCTGAATATATTGTAGCATGCTGCGTCATTCATGATAGTTGTATACTGAATAAAGATGAACTCGCAATAATACCGTTAATATCAGCTACAGATACTTCAGCACAAGATCATCATATTGATCAAAGGCAAGCAAATAACAATGGAATTTATAAAAGGGACATGATAATGAATATGTTACAAAGAGAATTTAATTAAACTTTAACTTTGTATAAACATATATTTGTAATTATTACACTGTACAAAAACCAAAGCAACATAATAAAAAATATAGACATTTTATCGTATAAGGTTATCATATGTACAGGTACTCTCAAATAAAGACATTTGCTAAATACATAACAGATCAAAATTCATAGCACAAATATATCACCCATATTTTGTGTCATCTTAAAAATATAATAATAAATGTAAATATATGGTAAGAACTAAAAATAATCTAAAACAATATAAAATAAAAAAAATCCTTTACATGAGACAAGAAATACTTAGTTCCTTAAAGTATGAAAATAATATTAATCTTTACTGGTTTTAGGGCCGATTGTTCCATCTTTTAGATAAAGTTTATCTGTTAGGTAAGTAACAAGATTACCCAATCACGTATGCGGATTGCCAGATTTACTTAACAGATAAAATTTACCGAAAGATGGAACAATCGACCCTTAAACTATAAAACAAAATATATTCTAATAGTTATAGCAGAGATAGGAAGTAATTCTTCTTTCACCGTTAACATTAACGTTATTTTTATGATAACAATTTGATTATAACATTACAATTTTTCATAAATGTTCAGACATGAAGTTATAAAATTTACCTAAAGAATTCACTTAGAAAACAATTTTTGATTGTCTGGTGGAAATGATTACAATGGATTCTCATAGGTACGATTATTGCTTTACTTATTGTGCGTTATTCATTGAAAAAATTAATTTGTAACTAATCGTTAAGTAACGAGTAAAAGTACTACATTAGTAATGTTACTTTTACTCGTTAAATAACGTCAACTATCAAATTACTTTTTAGTTTTTATCAATAGGTAACGTGTAATGGTACAGTTATTTATTAAACGTGACTATTCCAGTTGTGGCGTTACCATTACGATTATGAAAAATTGTAACGTCATGATTAAAGCATTAAGGGGATGCTAAAGCAACGGCGGAACTCAATTAAGGTCGATAATACAGATTTAGGAGATTTTATTGGAAAATCGATGTAAGACGGTGCTGCGCCCCCATTTACACGGAGTAGCACGAAACTAAAAATATCGATAATATACCGAATGGTAATTTATCAGCATTTTTCGTGCTACATTATAAAAGTACGTGTTTGATGTAGTTATTTTTTGCTACATCTTTATTATTTTACGAAACGTAAATACACGCACTCCTTTGGAGGATATAATGCCGTATCTCCAATTTTCGAGAGACTCGTATTTCGGACGATTCTCTGATAGATTATAAGGCATATATTGTGTAAATATATTACACGTATGTGTATATATATTATCATGTATATATACATACATATATATATGTATATATATATACATATATATACATATGTATATATATACGTATATATATATATATACCAGGACTCGGCACAAAATGCAACTTTCGGCCGATTTTCGAGTAGGCTCCGCCTTCCACTATCCCTCTCACCTCACCGCCCCGTGCGTAGTCAAAATGCCGATCGACGCTCAGGAGTGTACTAAGGCGCTCATAAATGTAAGGGGCATTCGTTTGGGGCGCTCGACACGCTGTAATCTTCATTCTATCTTTTTTTTCGCTCATTACGTACGAAACT